AAGGCCCGCGTTGATGTCATTTACCACTATCACTTCCCTCATCCTCCTCCAGATTTTGAGCAGTGATTTCCTTTTGATAATGTCAGAAAGGGAGAAACTGTGGTGATGTTTTGTATTGTGGTAACTGTGGTTATGTTTTGTAGGTGATGTTTTGTATTGTGGTATTATGGTTTTATTTTTTAACCTGATGAAGACCAACTTGTTTTTATACTGATGATATTTGTTTTTGAAAACTATTGTGTTAAAACATCTACAGTTTGATATCTTAATCTCATATCATGACTTTGATTAAATCATATTTATTGCTAATGTGCTAACTTATGTATCTAGTATGAATAATCATTTAGGGAGCATGACTGGAGGGGGAGTTTTTCTTACTCTCAAACAAATCGAAATATCATGGTGTGCCATCATCAAAAAAAGAGGAGATTGTTAGACTTATTTATTTTGATGATTTATTTAATTCTGTTTTTGATTTATTTGGAAGAGAAAAATAGATTGAAAACTTATTTTATTCCATTATTTTTCACCTAAACTTTTATCTTAAATATTTTTGGAGTATATATATATTTGCTCTAATTATGAGGTAATTTCAGCTCAAAAGCAGTGCCCAAAACAACCCAGCACAGCAGTAGTTCAAGCAGTAATTCAAATAGCCCAGCTCAACAAGGCATCAGACGTCTAGGTGGACATCCGACCGGACGACCGGCCAACGGCTTTTTGCCCAGTTTTGCTTCAGTTCAAATTTTCTTCTCACCGGCTGTCTACCCAACAGTATCCTCGACATCCGCGGAAGCCATCCTTGACAACCGAGACCCACCGGACGTCTGGGTGGACATCCGGGTGGACGTCCCTCTAGAACAAAATTTCATTTTGGATAGACCACTCTGTTCTATTTTTCAAAGAGAGCTGTCATCTATCAGACCCATGCTTTGCCTCCTTTAAGATCTAATCAGTAATAGAGGAATGCATCATTTTGAGTAAACTCAATCCTTTTGAATACACGCAGCAGTCAACAGCTCCATAATTTTCTCCTTGATAAATAGCAGAGCTTCTGCTGAACAATATATAAGAAAATATACAAGTTAGAAAACATTTTCTGATTAATCATCACTCTCACCTTTCATTTACTCTCTGAAAAGTGTTCCTCAAATTTTGGTTTACATTTTTCTCTCAGAAATTATACACTAAGCCTTATAACTTTAAGCTTATTTTACTTGTATGAGGTTTACAAAAAAATCAGAGTTTCATCTTATATATCTATCTTTGAGAGACAACTCATGTAGCTTTCTTTGAAAGCAAAAACAACTTTATTTCAACCTTGTAAGAGTGTAGTACACTCAGTGTTCTTGACTCCTTGAGTCTGATTGAAAATCAGCTAAAGAAGGCAATGGTTTGGATTTAAAAAGTCTGTGTAAAATATGTGAAGGATTGCTCCATTTATGAAGAGGTTGCTAGCACCCCTGTGAAGCTAAAGTATAGTGAAAAATCTCAAGTGAAGCTTGAGGAGTGGATGTAGGCTTGGTTGAAACCGAACCACTATAAATTTGTTTGCCTCTCTCTCCCTTATCTATTTATTTTGTTTAATTGTCATAGCTATATCTCACATTTTCACTGTGCCAAATTCATTAACTGATATAGCTGTTAGAACACTTGTTTTAATTATCTTTGTTTCATTAGCTATATTTATATGTTGTGTCAGTTGTAATTTTATTGGGGTATTATTATTATTTCAGCATACTCTCACCTTTTCTGAAAATAATATAAATCTAAAATTTTAAAAATCCAATCAAATTAAAATTCAATACAATTCTCTCTTTAAAATACTCAATATTTTATCTTTTTTGCAACCTGGCCAACTTCTCCCCAAATGTAATAATTATTCTCTCTCTTTGCCAATAGTCTAAACTTATTTCAAGTTTGTTTGCTTGTGTTTTTTTTTTTTTTTGTAAATTTATATTTTCGTGTGAGTATATATATTTTTTTCTTTCTATATGACTTTTTTTTTGTTTTCAATGCATTTTTTTTCCAATGTATTTTTTTTCAACTAAATTAAAAATAAATATATATCTGTTAACTATATTTGTTTTGGGAGTTGATTTGAAGTTTTTTTTTTTGTGTGTGTGGATGTTTGTGTATTTTTTATATTGTTGTTATTACTTCTTTTGATATATGTGAATTGATAATATAATTATGAGTTTTTTTATTTTATTTTTTTATTTTATAGAATAAAGCGTCTTATATTGTTATTTATGATTTGGCCATTTTTCAAATTTCATAAACAAAATTTTCAAATTTTTTATTTGTAAAAAATTAAAAATATTTAATTGACTTACCCATCAATAAATAAAATTTTAAATAATGAACACTATTCCATAATTTATGTATTTAAAAAAAAAATTAACACTTATATATGGAATAAGAAAACCTAAAATTACGCATTTTTTTTTTATTTTTCATTTTTAACTATTTAAAACTCTAACGGTTTCTTTCTATTTTCACAATGTTGTCTTTTTATATTTACAAAGATAAAAAATAGACCGGAGTTGCATAATAGGTAGTGTAGGTAGTGAGCATGGCAACAATAAGGGTGATGATGAGCTCGGCTAGAGTATTGTTTGGGTGGATTTTGAAAAGGTGAATATTAAAATAATAGTAGATAATTTGGGTGATGAATTGATTTAGAAAATTAATGTGTGGTTGAGATTAAGTGTGAATATTACTATATAAAAATTGAATATGAATCATATATTATTTTTTATATATAATTTTGGATACTTTTGTACAACTATAAAAAATTATTGTGATCACATGTTACTTATCATTTGATATATTATTGTTGTATTATCGTAATGAATTTTATTATTAATGTCTATTATCAATGCGGTGGTGAGATATCACATGATAAATAAAAATATGTTTTGTTATTATTATTATTGATAATATATTTCTTTATTTGCCTTTTTACAATGTTCAAAAAATTAATTTATGTTTATTGTTAATTTTTGTAGATGAGAAGTCAAAAATAAATTTTAACCAAATTCAAGCTATAACTAATTTGATATTGAGAAAAGGAAATTTCAAAAGAAATTATAATTATATATAATTTTAAAATATTTTAAAACAAATACAAGGAAAAATTGGAACTATAAATTAAAATTATCAAACAACCTAATTCTATGAAAAAATTTAAATGAAAAATTTATCAAATTTGAATTTATAATTATTAAATATTTTTAATAAGCCATTAGTTTTTTATTTAGGTTCTAGCCTGATCTGATCTTAAATAGTTTTTCAGATATAAATATATCTTAATATTGATACATTCAAAATTAAACATATTTTAAGAAGGCTAAATTATATCGATAGTTATTGCATTTTGCCTCTTGTGTCAATTTGGCCTTTGTAATTTCAATTAGTTCGATTTTTACCCATAATTTTAGATTTTGTATTAATTTAGTCTAATTGATAATGCCGGTCAAGATTTTTGAAATAAAATAGTTATTGCATTGGTTGAGATTAACTTATTGAGTTGAACAAGTTTATAATTTTGTCTATAAAAGTATAACAGATACTACTCATGTATGTATTTTTAATAAAAAAAATATTAGCAATTATAACAATTGGACCAAATTAAGACAAAATTATAAATTAGGGTCAAAATTGAGCAAATTAAAATTGCTAAGGACAAAAATAACACAAGAGTTAAAATATAGGAATTACCAATGTAATTTATCCTTTTAAGAATAAGTACATAATTTCTTAATTAATTTTGAAATTGTTAATAAATATACCAAATATTTTTGTTATAATTTTTTTAAAAAAATATATTTACTAATTAAAAATTAAATAAATAGGTAAGTCTACTAACTCATAGATTGGACATGAACTAGACGATTCTCTAAGGACAAGGCTTAAATCCAGAATCATTGGCAAAAAAAGATCGACTTAAACTAAATTTTCTTGGCTACTTTTTAGTGTTTAATCCAATATTAGAACCCCAAAATTAGCTCATATCAGTCATGAACTGACAAATTATGATATAATTTAAATTTATTAAGACTAGAATATGACCTACAATTTAGGATGACTATATCTTAAATAATTTTTTATACATAAATATATATAACTATTCATTTAATTGTTTTAAACATAAATATATAATTTTTTTTTTTAAACTATAGTTCAAACTTTTTAATAAGTATGCATAAAATAAGTCCATATTTAGTATTTTTATTATAAAAAATATTTACAAATATTTATTTACTAATTTAATAAATAGATAGGTTAAATGATTCATATAAGTTAGGAATAGAATAAGACAATTTTTAATGATTAAGTGAATAACAAGTTGGCGTAAATCTAATGTTAAGCCCAAATTTAGGCTAAGTTTGGCAACTCTTAAAAAATTCAAAAAGTCAAAAAGTTACTATTTTATTTAAGTCACATCATCTTATTTAAGTCACATCACCTCTCTAACACATCACTTCAACCCAACCCAAACCCAATCCATATTTCATAAAAAGTCAAAAAGTGCACTTATTTAGATCATTCCAAACAATCCCTTAATATCACAAGTGAATCCTAATTCATTTTTATGTAAATCTTACAACATAAGACAAATTATAATTTTTAGACCACACAAAATAAAAAAAAAATTAATATATTGACAAATGTAATTTACCACTATCATATGATAAATTAAATTTACGAAACTCATAAGATGAAATATATTTATTTTTTATCATAAATATAATTTTTGTGATTTATTTTTTAATTTTTACCGCTTAAATTATGACATATATTTGTTATTAAGAACTTAAAACATATGATTAATGACATAAGAATAAAAAAAATTCTCTTATATGTAATTGTGATAAAAATAATAAAATTTAATTAATTTTAAATTATTTTTACTACATATTGTAGATAATTTTTTAAATTATTATTTAATTCTAAAAATTAATTTTTAATTATTTATTTATAGTCGTAACCAATTCCCAAACGAAGGCTTTGCTTGGCAAGTAAGCCAGTCCGCAATCGAGTAGTAGAGTCCAGTCCATTCGATTCGATTCGGTGCCGACTTCAAAACCAGAACTTTTTTTGTGTTGTTCATATTCTCTCTCTCTCGCTCTCAATCTGCAACAATGGCGGATGAGAAATCAGTGTTGGCAGTGATTAGGGCAGCGAGACCCTCCTTCAGAAACGCCTCCGACAAGATGGCCTTCGCAGTTCACTCCTCCTTCCTCGCCTCCGGCTACCTTCTCCACTCCACCGGCCCCCCCGCCTTCTCCGACAACGCCCTCTCCTCCTCCTCCACCGGTAAACCACCCCTCTCTCTCTCTCTCTCTAGGTTATGAATAATTTGTTTTTTGATGTATAGATGAGGTGGGGATTGATAATTGGAATGAGTTCGAGGACGATTACGCTTTTCTGTACTCGAACCCTGAAAAGGATTCAAAGAAGGTGTTGGTGAAGTGTGTCGCCATGAACGATAAGTTGCTTGTTGATGCTTTGAAAGTAGGCAGTTCTGAGCCTGCTCATCTCCAAATCAAGTTAGGGTTTTTCTTTCTCTTCAATTTGGTTTCTTGTTCGTGACTTTGAAATTAATTGCTTAATTTTTTTATTATTTTTATTTTTTATTTTTATTTTTTATTTTTATTTTTTTTGTAGCATTCCGGATTATGATAAAGAGAATGGTGGCACCAATTATGGTGAGCAGTATAAGAATTTAGATAAGCTGGTGAGCAGTATAGATAAAGAGATTTTGTCTAAATTGAATCGTACTTCAACAGAGAGTTCATCAACTCAGCCTTCAAGGTGATTATTTTGCAATTTTTTTTTCTTCTTCTTAAGTTGTATATTTTTATGTAATTGGTTTCAATGGGTGTGTGATAAGATTAAGAAAGAAAGAATGAAAATATGGTTAAGTCAGTACCATGAAAACATATTGATGCAACGTTAGTTTCCTAGGCATTATTTGGCATGTGATGCAATAGTAAAAGGATATGAATTTGTTTAAATTAACTGAGGATGTAGTCTTTGACATAGTAGAATGATGAAAAAGAATTTAAGTATTGGGAATTTTTGAGATTTTCAGCGCACAACTGGGGTGTTAATTTATTTTCTGTGGAACTAATATGTTATAAAGCTGTAGTGTAGCCAACATAATTTGGTTTTAGGGGCGCATAGATTTCTAAGGGAGAATTTTTTCATAGTTTGGTTTTGGACATCAAGAGAATTTTTTTGTCATGTTGCCATCATATTTCTGATCAAATTCTTGCCAGTTATGTTGGCCATTTGCCAAAAGAAAATTTGCTTGCTGTGTGACTTTGTTTTTCTGCAGTCACTAACTCACTAACATGCTAATTGACTTACTTTAATGTTGTATTGACATTTGAGGTTTTTTGTGTGATGTTCTTGTATTCCTACTTCCATTCCTTATTATAATTTTGCATACCAAGGACTCCCTCTCAACTGACTGATATATTGTTATATTTTATTTGCAGTTCTAGAACAAGGGATGTGGAAGTTACTGAACCCCCGATTCATAGACCTCAACCTCCTCCTGCAGGGTACTTTTAAACTAAAAAGCTTCATTTGGTTGATGCATTCCTTCAATAGAAGCATTATGAGTCATTGCATGTATCGTTTTATGTTTGATCCACAGATACCAAGGACTCCCTCTCAACTGACTGATATATTGTTATATTTTATTTGCAGTTCTAGAACAAGGGATGTGGAAGTTACTGAACCCCCGATTCATAGACCTCAACCTCCTCCTGCAGGGTACTTTTAAACTAAAAAGTTTCATTTGGTTGATGCATTCCTTCAATAGAAGCCTTATGAGTCATTGCATGCATCGTTTTATGTTTGATCCACAGATCATTGCTGACAATATGATTTTTGGATTTTGAAGTTTTAGTGTTGTGTTATTCTAGACTCTAATATGTAACTATGATGGTATTTATAAATATTTTTCCTGTGTGTGTTTGTTTTGTAATGCAATAATGCTTCCTCTTTTAGATATCACAACAATCTAAATGGTGAAGAGTGTTAATGATTAGATTACAGTAGATGATTAAACAGTTCGAACTTTTTAAGAAATAGCACTTGCAGTTTCTTGTAGATTAAGTGATGTGGACAATTTATTTTGATTCCTTCCCTATGTAAAAATTACCCATTTGTGTTTTCCATTGGGCTGTGGGTTTAGTTGGTTGGATTTAATCCAAGTTGAGCACAATGAGGACAGGAAAGTTTGGCTCAGACTATTTGAGCTCTGGGTTTGGGGTACCTAACCATGTGGTAGCCAAACTTAGGACCTTGGAATGTATGAGTTGAAACTTGCAAGACAAGAAAAAGGTGGAATATGGAGAAGGCTTTTCCTAATGAATGACAAGGTTCATTTGTCAATTTTTTTTAAAGCCTAATTAGCTAAACTATATTCCTTTGAATTGAGGAACTTGTCTACCTTAATAGTAGAAGAATGAGCGGCCTTTCCAAATGTCCTAAGTCTGAGTTACCTAATAAAAATGAAGGTGAGTTTTCTACTGCCGTGAAAGGAACTTTCAGCTGAGTTTTGATGGAACTGGGAAATTATGTCCATTCAGATGAGTTCACAATTTTGGTCTTACAGATTGCTGCTTTACTGGTGTCTTTATATAATATACATGCTATATGGTCAGGTGACTCATCAAAATATGAGGCTCATATCATATTTGCTTGTCTAGTTGATGTGGCCATCTGAATGCAAATGGTAATATATGTTAAAACCTATCACCTACTTCACCCACTTAAACCTACTCCACTAAACCTAACCCACTACACCACTACCACCTCACCTACTCCACTAATTTTAACCCACTGCACCACTACCACCTCCACTTCACCTACTCCTTACCTACTACACACTCACCCTCTTCTATATATAGGAATCATGAATCATTGTAATAAATATCAATAACATTATATCAATTCAATAATACATCAATTTTTAACATGGTATCAGAGCAGGTTTAGAACTTAATATTTTCGCTTCCCCGGCGGGCGGCAACCTCACCTTAGCTGCCCGCCGGACCCCAACCTCACCGCACTGAAATAATCGATCAACATATCTCTTGCTGAGTCACTGTGGCCCACGTCTTCAAAATCATCTGTTGCATCTTTCCCAGTTGCTGTTAGCAAGACTTCATCACCTCCAGGATGATCATCCAAGAATGATGTTACATCATACACCTTTCCAGAGATGATAATCTAGCAATCCTGTTTGTGCTTGTGATTTGCAACCTCCTCAAACGAGTGGACTTTCAAATTTGAACTCATATCTTCCTCTCCTACAACCAGTTTTCCGGCGAGTTTCCGGACTCCGGCACATCTCCGTCGACGACATCGCCATCCGAGGCTTCAACCCGACGTTCCTCTCCCTGATATCAAGACGACGATGAGAAATCGTCTCCGTCTACGTCGCCGTTGAAGTCGAAGTTTTACCGGCTCTTCGGAAGAGAGAAGCCTCTCCATAAGGTCCTCGGGGCAAGGAATTTGCCAGAAGGCCCAGACATAAAAATGCATCCTTAGTGGGAGGGGACCATCCTTAAGTCAAGCGGACAACACTAGTTTTCCTGCATCCTAGAGGATATTAAAAATGACTTCAGCCTAGTCCAAAACTGGTTAAAAAATTGACATATATTGATAATTGAAATCGTTATTTAAATGTTACTGATATTTTGATACCAAATGATTCATGATTTACCTGATATATAAGAACGATGTACTGCGCATAAGTGGTTGATAGTTTGATCCCTGATGTCGTAAGTAGTGGTTTAAGGGGAGTAGGGTGAAGTGCGATGTCGGTTAGTTTGGTTGGTTTGTAGGTAATGGAGTGTTAAAATTAGTGGAGTAGGAATGAGGTCCGAGGATAGTGATGGTGTTAGTGGGTTACCGTTTTAGTGGAGTTAGGTAAAGTGGGTGAAAGTAGGTTGTATAGGTTTTAACAACTCCCCGCAACCAAGGGAGACAGGAACTAGCCAACTTGACTTTGGATGAGAGTTAACAAACAAGAAATATAGTACGAATACATTAAAAGAAAAGATGGATAGGAACACTTGTAGGGTCTTCGTTGTCAGACCGGTGGTTTGAAGACAGTATGGTTGTGGTATAACGTCCTCCGTAGAGGACAGTATGGTGGTGTTGACCGATGTTAAAGACAGTTCATGGGGTCATATGTTCGGGACCGATTTTGTTAGAAAGACAGTTTACGGGGGGTCATCGGGCATGTCGGGACCGTTGTATGTTAACAGACACTTTTAATTATGTCTATTTTGGACAATTGTTGTGTGTTGACAGTTACGAAAAAAAAAATGACAGAGTTCTTACATGGCCCTTGTTTAGAAACTAACCGGAAATCAATGTGAGGTAAGTTTACAGAGTGCTTGTCGGACCCTTTGAAGGATGGCGAACCGGAATCAAATTTGTCGGGACAGTTTACTGAGTCCTCCCTGTCAGGACCCTTAGAAGGACGCTAACCGGACACATCCCAATGGGTTGGTCGGACTAGTTTACAGAAATAGTCTTGTCGGTCGGACCCTTAAAAAAGTCGCACCGCCTCAAAAGGGTCTGTGCCCAATCTTTCAAAAGGCGTGCCATCAAAAGGCAGTGCCCCAATCCATAAAAGGCCTTAGCGTGTTCCAGATGCCATCAAAATCATGCGTGCCCCCCCAAATCCATTTAATAAAAGCTGCCCCTATTAATCCGCGGATATAATTAGTATGTGCATCTAGCCGTTCATTCACGCTAATCAATGCATCGTGCTATCAAAAGTTGCGCCCTCGAAAGGGCGCGCCCCACTCACAAAAGTCTATGTGCCGCCCTCCCGACAGAAAGCGTCGAGGCCATCAAAAATGAGCCAGAGGACGCGGCGAGGCACGCGACGTGATAGCGACAGTAGCGGATGAACTCGACGCGTAGATTGTCGGGCCCGCAGCGTCAGTTATGTCAATATAAAACAATGCGGAGGCGGAGGAAACCAAACCAGACTGAAACGCATCTGAACTTGTCATTCTGACAATCTTCGTTAAAATACTCCTGTATTCCAACCCTTCCGGAAACAACTCAGCAACCCAAAAAACATGGGCCCCCTCGTCTTCCGTTCAGGTACCACAGAACATGGCCTCATCCTTCCCGATATGTGATCTGCTCACTCTCTTTCCGATCTCAACGAGGCAACCAGGAGAGATAACAGGTGCGGTGCCCGAGTGGTGATACCTCAACCAAAACACCTCTGGGTTTTGCTACCGTTGAACTTTCCAGCGGGTCGTGGAGCAAAAAATCGGCAGTGCAAACTGATATTTAGGCCAATCAGTATACTCTGAGAAGTCATGTGTAGAAACCATGACTGCTCACAAACCTGTCGCACCGGCTGCGGAGTAGGACAAAATGAGTTGTAGCAGTTTAAACGCACCAACATGGCTCTGCTCCAACGCATGTATAAGGATGCGCGAGCAGAGATAAGTGTGCTAAAAGGCGAGAAAAGGAGCTGAAGCGGAAGGCCACCGGTGTTCCGTTTTGGAGGTCCGCCATATGCTGCAGTGTTTGAAGATGCAAGGAGGCGGAGTAGTGATCATCATGCCCCAGTGGAGTGGGAGGGAACACGGAGGCAACACCGGCAAGGGCCGCCCAGGAGGAAGGCAAGAAGAAAAGACCGGTGGCATGGCAGAGTAGAGAAGGGATGTCGGTGTGTGGCGTCTGCACGAAAAAGAAAACAAAGCCGTTGTTGTGTTTTTATTTTTTATTATTATTTATTTTTGTTTTTTTATGTTTTTTTTTTTTATTTATTTTATTTTATTTTTTGTGTAAAATGGGGATCGGGAGTGAGCCCCGACATGATAAAATGAGTTTTGTTGGAATGAGGAATGTTTGTTTGTGTGTGTTGTTTGTTTGTTGTTGTTGTTTTTTTTTTTTTTTTTTTTTTTTTTTTTTTTTTGAAAAGTAAGGGAATCGAAGAATAAAAACATATGGAGGGAGGGGGTGAAATGATAAGCAGGGTGATGATGAAGATAGAATAATGAAGAAAAAGAGAGCACCAAGTAAGTTGTATAATAAAAATAAAAGTTAGGCGGTGAATGGGTGTGATTAAAAAAAGAAAGGTGAGCTAGGAGAGGAGAGGAGAGGAACGCGTGAGAAATGAGGTGGTCAAAAAACGTAAGAATAAAAGAAACAAAAAAAAAAAAAAAAAAAGAAGTGCACATGGGTTGGTATGTGGAATAGCTCCTGGACCTACAGGGATGTCACAAAGGTGCACATGGGTTGTAAAGTTAAGGGGAAAACGGTAGGGTGCAAAAGGGGGGAAGTGGCTGCAGAAAAAAAAATAAAAAAAAAAGAGAGGGAATGGGGATAATATTTTATAATAACATTGGAAGCTTTGTTGTGGTGTGTTTGTGTGGAACACAGATAGAAACATTTTGAGGTCTTTTCCCGCAGCAATTTCCCCTTAGAACTGGCAAAACGCTGATTGATTCAATCCTGAGGGCAGAGGCTAACTCCAGAACTGGCTCCTTAGGAATGTGAATCTTCAGAATAT